GTCCCGGTTCGTTCTTTCCCTTAAATAGAGAAAGGAAACTAAGGTTTATTGTTGGGTTTGGGCTGAACTTGGGTTTAGAGTTTGGGCTGATTTTGGGCCATTTGAGATGGGTTGAGGTGTAAATGGGCTGAGCTTCGAGGCCTTTGTATGATTTTTGTAATTTGACCTTGAACTTTAAATTCTTTCAATTGAATCCCCTTTCTTGAATTTCTTTTCCAATTTCTTCTTGAATTTATTTTTGCATGTAGCACCTAAAACAAAATAAAAATAAAAATAAAAATATATTAGTTAAATAAAAGAGAAAACTTCATATTTTTATATTTTTGTGTTTGGTTTGACATTTTATACATTTTTATGATTTTTTGATTAATTTTGTGATATATATTATAAAAATTTGAATTATAACAATGGATAAGGAAATTTATCCATCAGTTGAATAAGCACCAGAATTTGAAGACATAAACAGAGGCAAAATCAACTAAATAAGCTATAGTACATCAGCAAAAACGCACACGAAACAATAGCTTTGAACATGACTTTACCTAGAAAAATTGGGGGGCAAAATTGAGCCTTCTAAACTATAGAAATTTCGTCCATGTACAGAGGGATTTTGGTTATGTGCAAGTGGCTGAAATAATTGTAATCAAATGAATTCAAGGAAGGATAGCATCAAAAGAACTCACTGATTGAGGAAGGATCCAATGTCACAAAGAAAAGAAGAAACCAAAGACTCAAGGATGGCTCCTATGTGAGTGAAAGAGGGGAAGGGTACAATCACATTCACAATGAGTCGTGTCGTCTATATAGTCTATGGTTGTCTTCTAAAAATTAAAGTAACCACCCCTTAATTTTTTAGTAAAATTACAATTTATGTCCCCCAACAAGCTAACCCTAGCCTTAAACTCAAGATTAATTCCCCTTTCACTTAAGTTCACCATCCTCCATTAATCATTTACATCCTCAAACTCTAAATTATTCCACTTTACATTTGAGAGAAGGTGTAAATAAGAACGTCAACTTTGTATTTTTTATATTTAAAAATGTTAATTTTATCAATTTCTAAATAAAAATGTTAATTTTTAACTTTTTCTATTTAAGGATATCAACTTTTAATTTTTCCTATTTAAGGATGCCAAATTTCAACATTTTGATTAAAAAATCCATTTTCCACATTATTATTATCATTCAATTAATCATTTAAATAGAAAAAGTTAAAAATTAATATCTTTAAATAGAAAAAAGTTAAAAATTAGTACCATGATTTAAAACTAGCAAAATTAGCATCTTTAAATCAATGTTTTTGGGTTCGGCCTAGTGGTTGACTTGTTCTGACCACCAGGTCTGGTTCAATCGGTTGAACCGATTTACGCAATCCGTCAACCTGTCAACTAAAAAAAACACTTTTTTTGATATTTTTATTAGATTTTACTCTTGTATATTACTTTTACTTTATTATTAAGAAATAGCCATAAGAAAATCAACTTAAAAACCATCATTTAAGCAATTTAAAATAATAAATCTAATTAAATACATATAATTTTTAATATTTAAACTAACAAATATTAAAATATATAAGATAAAGTACCTATTTTTCAAACGCAAATTGTAATATCTATAAATAAACTTATTTAATCTTTGATACTCCAATCTATTTCTTTTCTTGGTGTGTATCCTTTTTTTAAAATACTTCAATTTCTTTCACAATCCGAAGATGATGAAGTTTGGCTCAAGAGTTTAATAGCCAAATTTTTAAGAGTTTGCATTCGAAAACAAGCATCATGAGACACCTTGTCACATTTTTTCACTTTGGTATGTGGAAGAACAGAAACAATATATTACCTATGTTTCTTATCTTGCATATATCACCACAAGCAATAAATCGCCAATACATGAATAGACACAAGAACAATAATACTACATTGCAATTACAAACAAATAAAAATAATTTTTTCATGCCTTCAAGAACAGATTTTTAGTGAGTGCACCTCCTTTATTCCCAACACATTTTGCCTGATTGAGAACAAGTATTCTAGCATTAAATTTATGAATACAAGTATGTGACTGTGGAAAAGGAAATTATGAAACTAATTCAACATTATTCATCTATTCTTGTACTTGCTCTTCTACTATCATAACAACAGGATGTTCATATTTAGAAATTCTATTTGAAGCTCCTACAAGATCCCAATATATAGATTAGCCACCCAAATATATATATATATATATATACACATATATGATTTATCAACTAGAACAAGACTTATATAGTGATGCAAGTAAAATTTAGCCGTGGAAAGATATTAACAATCCAATTCACTTCTAATATACTATACAAGAGCCATGAAAACCAAATTGTAGACAGTGAGGAAGAACATTTAATTGAGATTGAAGCTAAACATTTAATGAAAACCAGAAAAGGAAAGTGAAAGAACCCGTAGATGCGCAAGCAGCTTTTCCTTTGAATATGCCATTGTGCTGGTCAGTTTATGCTTTGATGTCAAAGTAGGGAGGAGTAAAGTAGAAATCAACGATAGGTTTGAGACTACAGTCGATGAGCGAAGAGTTGGTGTTGGATTTGTTACTTTTGTTCGGTAATGGAGATGAGGCGGTGACTGGTGAGATGCCAACTAATAATGTTGATGCTAGTTAATCCCCAATGTTTGGCACTTAATACAAGTCAGTCCTCAAATGTCCTTAAGTGCTATTGTTGCCATATATATAAATAAAGATTTTGTACAGACTTTTTCATGAATAGAAGACTCGAGATGTCCCTTTTCACTTTCTTCTTTTTCATTTCTTCTCCACTGTTATCATGATCAGAGCCAAGCAAATCTCTAGTTTATGGTGATCTAACAATTCCATCTTTGAATCGTCATTCTATTATTTACAATTTCTAATCTTATATCTCACTACCTTTTGTCTCATTACCAGATAAAATCCCCAATCTTTCAAAGCCCTAACTGATATAATGTTGCCTCAATCATCTCAGACTACAGCTTCTCCATCTTTAACAAATCTTGTCACAGAAAAGCTTACATATGATAATTTCTTACTATGGAAGGTACAAATTGTTCCAATTGCAAAAGGATATGGAGTCATGGATCATCTAGATGGGTTGAAGCTAGCGCCTTCGGAGTTTGTTGAGTTAGAGGATGACAAAGGTAAGACCAATTTGGAACCCAATCTTGAATACGAGAAGTGGTATGCTCAAGATCAACAAGTTAGTGCTTGGATTAATTCTACTCTTTCTCCTGAAATTCTTGCTCAAGTAATTGATATACCCTTTGCTTAGCTACTTTGGAGTACTTTATGTAAGTCTTATGCTCAACAATCTGAAGTCAGATTGATGTATCTCCAAAATGAATTACAAAATACCAAGCGAGATGGAAAAGCTATTGAAGATTATTAGAATAGGATGAAGAAAATCTTTGATCAATTGGCTATAATTCAACACCTTGTGAATGATTTACAGAAGGTTTGTCATGTTCTTGCTAGTCTTGGTGAAGAGTACAAAATGTTTGCCACAATTATGTTGGCTAAGCCACCTTTGCCCTCTTGTGATGACTTAAAGACACTATTACTTCAACATGAGCTTGCATTTAACATTACTTCAAATGCATCCAGCAGAGTTATAGACACTCCATTGCAAAGCAGTGCAAGTCATAATGTACTCTACACATTTGCTTAGTATGATCACAAAAATAGAGGAAAAGGAATGCATAAAGGAAGAGGAAGAGGAAATTTCAATGCCTATAATTCTTCAAATTATAGCCCTTCACATGGATATGGGGGGAGAAGATAGTTCTTTAATCACAATTATCACCAATATTCAAGATCTAGACGTAACTCTTGTGGTCATGGAATTCTTCCTATTCCAGCTAATGCACAGGCTTGCCAGATTTGCGGTAAATTTAATCATCTTGCTTCGAAATGTTATTGCAGATACAAAAATCAAAATGAACAAGCAGCTTTGACACATTCCATAACCTCTTCTTCAACAATCTCTGAGGGTAACTAGGCTATAAACTTGGGAGCCGTTGGTCATGTGACCGAAGATCCTGGTAAGCTTACTGATATTGTTCCATATAAAGGGCATTTTTGTATTGTTATGGGAGATGAATTTACACTACCAATCACTCACATTGGTAAAGCTTTGATTTCATCTTCAATGGGATCTATAATTGTTCTTGATGTTTTTCTTGTCCCAAATTTCAAAAAGAACATCTTATCAGTATTTCAATTTGTTGATCAATTTCAATGTGCCTTCATTTTTACTCCTGACATTATTTTGGTGAAGGATTTACAATCGGGGAAAATCCTCGCTAAAGGGAGACGTAAAGATGGTCTATATGTGCTGGAGAGTGAAGAAGTTCAAACTCTTTTTGTGGTAGCTTTGTCTACAAGGAAACTTAATATAGTAGCAGAATTATGGCATCATAGGCTAGCACATACTAATTATGCTAGTGTTGAAATTTTGAGAAAGAAGAATGTACTGCCTTTTTGTAGTAAGATCCCAACTAGTATTATTTGTCAAGGATGTCAACTTGGCAAACATCATAAATTGCCATTTTGTGCTTTTTGAAAAAAACAGTTCTAGTTTCCTTGAATTCATACATACAGACTTATGGGGTTCTCTTGATTTGGTTTCTTCTTCTGGCTCCCATTATTATGTTAGCTTTATTGATGACTTTACTCATTATACTTGGTTTAAGTACCATTTTGGTCCCTCAACTTTGCACTTTGGTACCAAAAATGTCCCTCAGCTTAAAAAAGTACCAAAATTATCCTTGAACTTTCATTTTTGGTACCAAAATGATCCTTCCGTCAGTTAAACGCCAGGTGGCCCGTTAAGATGCCACAAAATCACCAACTTTTTTGATTTTTAATGACGTGTAAATCCAGCAAGGACATTTTTGACACCTGGCACTTTTCCACGTCAGATTGCTTCCTCACTTTTCAGATTCATTTTTTGTGGAACCCACATAAAAGAAAACATATAATTTAAAAATAATAGTTCTTTTTTTTTTCACCCACGTCAGATTTCTTCTTCCTCCTTCATTTTCTCTCTCCTTTACCTTTCCTCTTCTCTTACCTCTGCAAACCTAGATCTGGGTTTTCTCTCAAACTTCGTCTTCTTCCTCCTTTCGTCCTTACTTTCCCTGCTCATCTTTCTTTCTTCTTCTTATTCTCTCGCTCTCTCTCTTTCTCTCTTCTCCCTTCTTCTTCCTCTCTCAAACCCAAATCTGGGTTTTAGAAAAATTGCTCCCTTCTTCGGCTTTATGTGAAATTATTCATTAATTTCATTTCTCCATCGGACAAACAATTCAAAAAACATTAAGCTCGCAAGCAGCTCATAAAATCACCCACCAATAAATACCTAACACCAGTAGAACACGAACTTGACAAACACATATCCTTGAAAGCTTCCACAAATTGCAACCCACTTCCTAGAGACACCAAAATATCCATTAAAATCCACAAAGGATCGAACTTTTTTTGGAGCAAAACCCCGATAAGACTATCTGCTCCAAGATAAATAGCAGAAGGGAAAACACACTAAATCCCAAAAAAGCACTAATTTAGAGCAAACCCAGATTAGCGTGGGTAGGAGAAAACTCTAATGAACAGAATGAAAAATCAAATCTTGCTACCTACTTCAACGCAAGCTCTCAATATGCAACAATGGGGATAGAAAAGCGAAAATCAAGCTATGAAATTGCAAGAAATGTTGAATTGAAATCAAATCGGAATTATGGCCGAGAATTCAAAATAATGAGTAAGAGATAAATCAGAGAGGGAGATAAATATAGAATAAATCTGGGTTTGCAGAGGGGCCATTCTGGGTTCTCTCTCAAGCCGTTCCTGCTTCTAACAAACACAAACTCGGAGCAGACAGGATCGAACCCAAGGTGAAAGCTTAGAGCGAATTGACAATGGTGGTAACCATCTCATCTCCATGGGGCAAGCCTAGCGCCTGGGCGCTCAACGCTGAAGAACATGAAGCCGAACTCCAACAGTTGAAGAACCAACCAAACCCCGCCCTTCCCACCAAGCAGCTCACGGGGGAATCTGGGTTTGAGAAAAACCTAGATCTGGGTTTGACAGGAGAAGAAAAAGGCCGACAGCAGTAGTAGTAGAAGTATTGGCCTGGATTTGTAGAGGTATCGAGTGCGCCGGTGTTGTGCTCGTTGTTGTCGACGACGACGATCTCATTTGCTTCTCGGTTGTTTGAGAAAACCCAAGGCTTGGGTTTGCAGAGGTAAGAGAAAAGGAAAGGTAAAGGAGAAAGAAAATGAAGGAGGAAGAAGAAATCTGACGTGGGTGAAAAAAAAAAAGAATTATTATTTTTAAATTAAATGAAAATGCCAACTCATAAAAAAAATGCCAACTATGTTTTTTTTTTTCCATGTCATTAGTTAAGTAAACAAAAAGAATTGATTTGCTGGCATTTTAACGGGCCACCTGGCGTTTAACTGACGGAAGGACCATTTTGATACCAAAAATGAAAGTTCAAGGATAATTTTGGTACTTTTTTAAGTTGAGGGACATTTTTGGTACCAAAGTGCAAAGTTGAGG